ATCATTTTCCTTGTCGCAACTAATGGCCCTTTTGAGTGAGCCCGAGCAAGTAGGAAAGAGTGTAGTAGATTTCCATCTTGAGGAGGGATTTGTGCTGAATAGGTGAATATCGTTATTTAACACGATGCGCGCAGTGTGGCAGTGATCGGGGATCCATTCCGGGGTGAGTGAAAGATATCCTTCCTTTGGACTACGGTTGATGGAGGAGATTTATCCATGGATTAACAATTGAATCGTGGCATGAGGATGAATGGGAAATGAAATTGAAAATTTTCTCTATTGAATGATTTTTTGATGACTCTGATTATTATTATGCTCCTCGTAATTCGATGGGAATGCATGCAGAGTGAGCTATTGCATTAGAGCAATTGCAGATGACTGCAACTTTTTTGTAAACTATGCTGAAACTGAGCATGCATTAAACGGAGGTAAGTTGATCTGTTTTCACTTGAAAACCTATATATTGTTCCATAAATACACGCAAAACAAATGACATATGCAAACAATTTAAGCATGAATTTCATACATTATCTGTAGATTTTTCATACGAAAACTGTAATGTAAGTTTTTACAAACAACATGTAGTGAACAAGCATCTTTTCCAGTTTTATTTTTTTCATCCAATACCTTCATGGGATAATTTTCTGTGTTAAATGTTTAGGCAGGAAAGTATTTACTAAATTAGCAAAGATGAATTACACAAAATTATTTGCAAAGTCTTCCGATGAGCACATAACAATAGAAAACTGTAGGATAATCTTTGGGTTCAAAATATATGTTTGATGCGCATACAAATTGATTTCAAACCAGCCTTCTTAAAAAATATATGGAAAAGATTGATTGAAATGTTGAAATTTTTGCTGCATAGTGCTTAAACGATTCCAAATCGGTTTCTGATTAGCCATCTATAATTTTATCTGATTTGGGTTGAATAGTGTTTGCTATTTTTAATTTAGTTAAAATAAAAATTGTAAAATTATTTAAAATCCTTCCTGCGATCACATTACAGTCGGGTATCCTTATTCCCGGATGGTTTTTCAGAATCTGTTCATGCGATTAAAGATTACAGATTATGAATCTTTTTTATGCAAATTAGTACATAGTTCAATTGAGAATTTTATATCAGAACAACCTGATTCATCAATAAAACAGCAAAATAGGTTATCTTCCATTTAATTCAACTTAATTAATTTTGGTATCTATGACAGATACGTATTTGGACAACAATGTGCAGTCAGCGCCACCAGGATTTTCTGAGGCATAAAATCCCTTCGGAAGGGAAGTAAAGTCGTTGGTCCCCGGTCTATGAGTTGATAGGTCGATAGGTAGGGTCCGGAGCTGCCTTCCTGGCGTTGGTAGCATTGGTACTCAGTACGGAAAACACGATCGACGGAAAACAAACCAAAGAAAAAACCAAAAACAAAACAAAACTACAATGTGCAGTCTTCATCAGTGTCATTCCCACTAAAGACTTATCAAAATGTATCCCTCTTAAGTACTCATCCCCTAGGTAAAAATGTCAAGATCACTGGTATAAATGGAACTACAATGTGTAGAATCAGAACCTACCAAACTAAAAAAAAAACTAAAATTTAAGTAAAGTAAAGGAGAAGAATCTATGCTACTCTCTAATAAGGAAAAAATCCCAAAGGCTTGGAAGCCATCATAATGGTTTTATTATTGCTTTGAAGTGTCCGAAAAACTAATTTGAATTATTTTTTATACAGCCGAGCATCCAATCCTTATGTTGGTTTATGAGAAGCAGCAATAAAACTAGTTGGCAATGAAAAATATATTTTAAGCAGTAATAAGCACTCTGTTCGAACTTGTCAAAATTTCAAATAACCCACGTGTCTATAACTTTATTTTCGTTACGATACATGGAAAGGAATCAAGGCTTCCGGCACTTTAAAGGGGAATTTACAGAAGAATTCCAACAAAAGTGCAATCATGCCTGCATCGGTATAAGAAAGTACTTCTTTTTTTACCTTGATTTGTTTTCCGTCAATCTTGTTTTCCGTGCTGAGCACCAATGCTACCGATGCCAGGGAGACAGTTCCCACACCTGGACCCTACCTACGGCTTTACTTCCCTTCCGAAGGAAGAGATGTTATGCCTCAGTAACCCCGCCACATTGTGCCATATTCGCTTCTTATTGAGAGTGCAGTGCTAGAAAATGCTTGATAATGAGGAAAAGTGTGCTGATCGAGCAGTATGATGAAACATTCGCTAGCTTGCGTCTGCCCTATTATTTTTTTTATGGATATTTTGCTCAATGACGTGTTCTGGGTATCATCTAAACTATTTGTAGAATAGTTCTATCATTTGGATTATCGTTCGTTTGTGGTGTCTTTTTTATTATGGTGGTCGATCAAAATAACATTCGAAAATAAGCATTCTTCTTATTCTTCTTCATTCATTCGTTAAATAACTTCGGTCTCTGTTTCTCAATCTAGTGCCAATCACCGACGGACATAAAATATAAAAAAATATTTTTAATAAAATATATTTTTCTTCTTTCTAACAGTAACTCTGGTTCGAGCCGTTTGACAGTTCAATTGAGTGAAAGTTACAGCATTGCCAGTCTGCTTTCAAACTTAATGGTATCAAACCTTTATTTATCGGTATTAATTATCTATCACCATTTTTATTAATGCTGGCTTTGAAGGCAAAAATCAAAGTTGTAATCTAAGAACAAAACATTTATTTTTTTGGGTTCATAGGAAGAATGGGGGAATGTTTAAATTTGATTCTCAAGGAAATTGGAAACACAATCAAGGAAAGGTAAGGGAAGCTCTTCTGGAGGAACTTTGAAGATTTTTTTTTATTCTCGGTTAACATTACAGCCTATATTACGTAATATAGACTATTTTATGTAATATAGACAGCCAGAGGAAGTCAGAAATTGCTTAGTAGTTAACTTTTTCAAAGCTTTTACCATTTTCGGAATTATTTGGGATTTTCTGTAGCTCACTCGGATCGGATGAAGCTACTAGAACATTTCTAACCTTTAGAGGTCGCTGGGCTTTCTAAGTGATTTTCTAACACAAATTAAATTGAAATTAATACAATATCAGATTATCTTCGCCATTTGTATCTTGTAGTTCTAAGACACCATTTCCATGATTTTTTTTAACGTTCCCAAAATTTTGATGGAACTTTATTGCAGTTATCGAAAATTTTCTGAAATTTTCGGAAATCCTTTAAAACTTCCTCAATTTTCTTGAAATTGATTTATGTGTTTTGATTTTTTTTTGCATTAGTTTGTTTGTTTGGCTAAAATGTCCAAAACAACTCCATGGGACCAAGAACCATTAAACATTTTATAATTAAAGAACGTATTAATGAGGGACTTAAGTTTAGCTTCCGTTTTCATCCGTGCCCTCATCTCTGTTGCATCTTCCAATTGTTTTTCAGCGCCCGCCGCTTGGTCTCCTCTTCGTCCTTTATCTGCTCCTTCTCGCATAGTCCACTATCCCTGAGTTTTAGTAACATTATTTTGCACTTGGCTGCTGTTTTTCAACAGCACTTGCTTCCTCTCCACTGTTTTTCTTGACATCCCGAGACGTCACTTAAATCACCGCCACCTTTCTTCCAGGACCTCAACCGCTTCCTCGTTTGGCGATGCACCTCCAGTCACTACACCACACAGCACAACAATAATTATGATATCACATCAAAGTGGATGCACTTCAATCGTTTCAAAAATATGGTGTAATATTACTTGCCAAAAAGGACAAAATTGTCCTTAATACAGTGCAAGAAACTGACATTACGCTGCTTTAACAGCATTTGTTTATTTTTGGGGCCATGAAATTACATGAGATTTTCGACATGATTGAAGTGCATCCTCTTGGATGTAATATTAAAATTTATTTTTTGATGTGCAGCGATTTCTTCTTTGTCGCGTTGATTGGTTTCCTCTTCCTGTTGTTACTGTACTGGTTGCTTCCGTTCATTCCGCTTGGAGCAGGAATTCATCCGATGTCCCTTCACCTTACAAACAACACAAACTTTTGTTCCCTTGGTAGAATATGTTCCCCTTCCGATTGAGGAAATGCAGCGAGTTGACAATCTCAATCTGTTCAGATGTTTTCAGATTTTTCTCAAAGTTCTCTTAATACTATTCATCCTTCTTAAATGGATGTGTCTTGAAAGCCTAAAAATTTTCCTGAATTTCTTAGAACTAGTGAAGCTTCCGAAAAACTTCAGTTCACTGAAGTTCTCTTATTTTAACAGATTCAGAACTTTTTAGAAGCTCCTACATGTTCTCTGGAATCAAAATAACTTTATGGGAGTAATCGGAAAATGAATTACGTCTTGCTTAATAAGATTAAACAAACATATGATAATTAATAATCCTACATTCTGATTACCGCTATAAGCCATCAGCAGTTCATCGATTCATGGGAAGCCTAAAACGGCCGAGGAAATGGGAACATTAGTCGTTGCAGTATCAAATATAAAACATTTTAAAATAGGAATATTTATTTGACCCAGGCTAAGAAACTGAGATATTCAATAAGTTAAAAGTCTTTCACAAAAATATTCTATATAGCGCGAACAGGCAATAAATATTACTTTTAAAAAATTGTTTAAGGTGATACTCTAAGGAAACCTTAGCGTGAAACTTTAAAGGCACAAATGTCAGCTTCCACAAAACATACAAATTTGAAATTGCTACTCCTTGTTTGCTGTGCTACTACAAACAGAGAGTAGCAATTTCAAATTTGTATGTCTTGTGGAAGCTGACATTTGTGCCTTTGAAGTTTCACGCTAAGGCTTCTTTAGAGTATCACTACCAGTATAAAATCACAAAAATTTGTGTGTTCTGAGCAGTCTTGTAAACGGTCACGTTCACCGACGCTTTATTCTCTATTATCATGCTCTTTTTGTCAATTTATTCGTAACAAGCATGTTCGTTCGACAGGCTTGCCAAAAAATGTATTTTGACATCACGACACTTCTCTATCTTATTCATTTGATATTCATCATTTTTTGTAAACACCGACTGCGTTCACCGTAGCTGTCCACGTGTTCATTTATTTTGCAGTTTCATTATCTCTTTCTAATTCACTCTATAGCGTCTTCGTTCCAATGTGGGTTATCTACAGGTGAGGAGGAAGGAAACTAGTCGACTCTTTCATTCTCACGGTGTTCTTATGAAGCAGCAGATGTGACGTCACGTCTGTTGCTGCATAAGAAACCGCGAGGACGAAAAAGTCGATTATTTTCCGTCTTCCTCAACTCTTAGTACCACACATCGTCTTCGTTCAACGTTGTAAGAAAAGAACACGTCTACGTTTTCTATGGTTATCGTTGTTTTGCTATTCTACAGTCGTGAAAAAGTTCTTAGTGTTGTTGTCGACCAATTTTTACTGTTTCAAGTTAAGATTTTAAAACAGATCCTAAACTTTTCAATCGCAATGGACGTATCAGCATCATCGATCGAAAAAAAGAAATACAGAGAGATCCTAGCGGAAGGCTGCATTTCCACGGAAGACGGATTTGTATTGTGTGCCATCGATGCTGCCAACAGTTGCAAATACCGACAGAAAGCTGAAAAATTTGATGCCGGAAATTTTATCCGACATCTTCGTACAGAACACACCATTCTGGCCAAATCACGTGGACTACTTAAAGATGAGGCGGAAGTACCATCCAAGAGAAAGAAGGCATCAAAAAAAATGATTGCCATCGACAGGCAAACATTTGTCGAAGCAATATTGAAACTGGTGACCGTCCATCACGTTCCCCTGCACTGTGTCGAATGGGAAGGGTTTCAACTGCTCTTGAAACCCATTGGTGAAGCACTAAATATGTGCATGAATCGCCCTAACGTTCTCAGACATCTTGCTGCCACAAAGATCCGATCCGCGATTAGAAGTCTGGTGAACGGAAAGCTTATATGTCTAAAAATCGACAGTGCTTCTCGACATGGACGACACATCCTGGGTGTCAACATCCAATTTTTTGACCCAGAGCAGCAGCAGGTAGTGATTCTGACCGTCGGTAAGTGACAGCATCTTATCAAGTTGAAACAGGGCGGATTGCATCTTTATAATTAGGGAGACACTATTCCAAGTACAGCTTTTTCGTAAAAAGTTTAATGCATGGAATGGGATATCCCGTGATTCGCCGTACATGTAAATCATAGATTTATACTCAAAATAATTTCATTTCTTCTTCAGGGATGATTGAACTTAATGAGAGGCACACTGCCAAATTTCTAAGGTCGAAAATCGAAGAAATACTCGCAGGATACGGCATTTCACTTGAGCAGATATTTTCTATCACATGCGACAACGGTGCAAATATGATTGCAGCTGTAAAGCAGTTGCAGTCATATTTGCAGGTTATGATCCTCTCCACTGAAGACGACGAAGATGACCCATCACAAGAGCTACGTGGACTAGACTGGACCGAAGCGATTGAAGAAGAATTTTTCAATCGTATAACGCTTGTGAGGTGTGCTGTGCACACAATGCAGCTAGCAGTCACCGATGTTATCAAGGCATGTGATGCTGACATCCGTCAATGTACTACAGTCACAAAAAATTGCCGCAAGATAGCTTATAAACCGGTGTTCGATCTGCACAACCAATCGCTCCCACCCCTTTATGCTAGGACCAGGTGGGGAGGAATCTTCACGATGTTGGAGCATTTCGAAAAGCATGAGGATTTCTTCAGAGACTTAGGATCGCAGTATCCTGAGCTGGGTTAGTGAAACACGTTAAAAACTGATAAAAAGTTGTACATAGATTTATCACTTACCATTTTAAATTTCAGATCTTACAGAACAGTGGACATTCATTAAGGAATATGTTGCAACTTTCAGACCAGTTTTCTTGGCAACCAAGAACATGCAATCCAACCATACTTCCCTGAACGATTTTTACTTGACATGGATAAGAACCGTGATGGATGTCAGTAAAATTCAATCTAACCGATTTGTAGAACCATTGACGGCTTCACTGACCCAACGTCTCAAACAGTTGAAGGACAATATGATTTTCAAGTCCGCGCTTCTCATCGATCCACGATTTAATTACCTGAATTCTACACTGTTCACATCTGAAGAAAAAGAGGAAGTTCGAGTAAGTCCATTGCTTTTGTCACTCAATGAATGTTGAACCTCCATTTGTTCTGTATTTTCTTATCCTATTGTTCAGAAATTCATCATTGCAACATGGGAGCGAATCAAGCGAATGAAACCACACAGCGTAGACCAACCAACTCAGTCACCATCAACCTCTGCAACAGGATCAGATCAAGATCAGCACAGTGAGCTGGATGCCTTTTTGACACAGATGTTTGGAGGAATGCTTCCTGAGTCGGGCTCAAGAAGAATTCAAACATCAGACACGTTTCTGAGACAGCTAAAAGCACTTGATCTCGAGCCTCTACTCATTTGATGTATGGAAATATTGGGTTTCACGAAAATTCAGTCATCCCGAGCTATACGAAGTTGCAACTCTGCTGTTGACGGTACCTTCAAACCAGGTGTCCGTGGAACGCGCGTTCAGTGCTCTTGCACTGGTTCTTTCGGACAAGCGAACAAAAATCGCTGAAGCAAACCTTGAAAATATCCTATTGGTTAAGCTCAACAAGGAACTGTTTGAGAAAATAGTTCCTAACTTGTACAATTGGCTTGACGAAGAGCTTTAAGATTGATTCTGAGCATTTCGTCATATTTGAATACCTTTTCTTTTATTTCCATTGATATTTCCCACACAGTTCAATATAACAAGCTATTATCTTGCATTTGACACGAGAAACATGACAAGAGGATATTTTATTGCTCACTAACTGAGCCTTAGTTATTAATGCAAGGGAAAATAGACGAAAAGAACAAATCAATCTTGCTTAGGACATTATGGATTGTTCGGGTAGAAATGTGCTACCGTACACGCAGAGAAAAAAAATACAAATAAACTCAACCAATTTGCAGTCTACTGCTATTCCCCCGTTTACGCGGTGGGCGGTACTGCTCACTCACCGCTTTTTCTGATTAATGTCCGCCATAATCTAGTTGTATACAGAAAATCGGCTCAATTGATTTAAGGACCGCCGAGAAAGTGGGGGGTGGGCGGTACCACCCACCGCGTAAACGGGGGGATAGCAGTATTATATCTTGGCTAAAACAAATAGATATTTCAGGTTTTATCAACTATGCTTTTATTTAAAAACTGCCGGTTCAACCATATTCCGAACGAGTGCAGGTGAGGAGACACGAAAAAATCCAAACATTGGTACCTATGCATGTGTTAAAAACAATGAACACAAACGTTTCTGAACACTGCCGTGGAAATAACGGAACACCTTACAGTACAACCTCTATTTTGCCTTAGCAGCATTTTCCTTGCTGGCCTCACCAGCGACAAAGACCTTCTTCTTCTTCTCTTGTCCTTGAGTGCTGCTGGGGGAGATCCATCGGCAGATACAGTAGGAGCAGCAGCAGCATCACTAATATCCTTGGTGGTGTTTATGGGGGTGGGGTGGTGGTGACGACAGCGGCAGCAGCTTCCTTAGTCACATCCGACTTCTTGGTGTCCGTTAGCACCAGATCTATGTTCGCCTTCGAAGTAGGTCATTTCGCTCAATTTCGTTGTGTTTCACATACTACTTGGAACGGCTCGACCATTTTGTTGGTTATGCATTCCCATCTTGGCCTTGGCTTCCTCCTTAAATTTGCGCAAATTGAACGGCATTAGACCGTACTTTGGTAGTTCGGCTAGGAATGGCCTGAATGGTGTCGGTGTACAGCCAGAGACTCCTTTCGAAGCGGAACGCTATCGGAAAGTACAGCTTCCGATGTTCTACGTAAAAGGAAATATAATTACAATCTATCAAAACACTTGACATTATAACAAACACACTCACCACTACCGTACTTCCCGGTAAAGTGCGAAACGATTATTCCCAGGTAGAAGTCATCGTCAATCGTAAAGCGGTGGTCAGCTGTGCCTCGAGCAACTTGCGTAGCCTTTGTTGGCAATCTTCACTTTCGTCGTCGGGCCTCGATACTCTACCGTTTAACACCGTCGTCTTTCAGCGAAAATGCCAGATTGATGTCGGGAAGGTGATTCTCTTCTTCATTTCCAGTTCATTTTTTAAATTCCAGCTGGTGATCTTCCTTCTGGCAGAGGGCCGTCGCGTACGCTCCTACTGTGGACGCCTGGATCAGGCTCTAAAGGGTGTTGTTGACGATCGCTCCAGCTGTTTTGTGCTGTTGTTTGACCGTACTGTCGGCGATATTATTTTCCTCCCCCCGCGGCTGCTGCTCGTCGTTGTTGACCTTATTGTTGTCGTTTCACTCCCCAGAACCGATGTCAAAAAACATTACGCGTGCGAATCGGCAAGTGATTTTAAATCCACATTATTTTCCTAGAAGTAGAAACAAAACATAACTGCAATGCGTTGTGATGGACTAAATCAACAAAACATACCTGTTACCACTTTTCCAACGTGACAAATCGATTAAATTCTTGCGTCACTTTTCATAAGGTCCTATCTACATTGATCGATTCTCTTCATCGACTTTCTCTTTCGTTAATAACTCGCTTCCAAAAACATTCTAAGCTATTCTCATCGTCCAACATGCTTGATAATACTTTCTTTTAAAATAATATGTAGCAAAATCAGCCCGAAATATGCCTGCAGCCGAGTTATTTACGAAAGAGAGAGTCGATGAAGAGAATCGATCAATGTAGATTGGACGTTATGAAAAGTGACGCGAGAATTCAGTTTTTTAATAACACTTTGGCTATGAAACTTCTATCAAACGACATTCAAAGTATTGTAAACAAATTCAAATGAACGCAACTCAATCGACAGTACTGACAGCGATAGGGAGAGAGAAAATGATGGTCTACTTCTCCAGTTTTCTTTCATTGCTCTTTTGTATACGTTCGAAGGAAAGAGACGAAACAAAAACATTCGATTCATTCTCGTGTTGGAAGCAAAAACTTTTTTTGCGCATGACAGCTGTAGACGGGTAAACGAAATCATGGTCGCGTTCATAGTATTGAATGAATCATAACTTTGACATAACGGCCCTTAGTGAACGCTATCGAAAATGTCGACTGTTTACAAGACTGGCCATATAGTGTCTTCGGAGAAGTTTGTGTACTTAAAAAGCCCCTTCTTTTGGGCTTAGCCATTGCATGATTAATCCACCTAGCAGGGAAATGAAAATTTTACTTCTTTCGTTTGTCGTGATAGCAAAATGGTGTCTTGAGCAAAGTTTTAGACAATATTAAACAAACATTTTTGTTGAAAACGTCAACCCACTATCTCTTACGTTTACAGAGATCAACATATAATTGTATTTTTTTTTGGTATGAGCAATGAATTTTTTTGGTATGAGCATGAGGTATGAAGCTATTTTTTACGTTGATTTTTTCTACGCAAATGTTTGTTTTTTTTAGGAAAACGCAATTTTGTCTTGAGAAGCAGGTCCCTATCTTCAATATTTCTTAAGATATTCAAGGTTTGATCCAAAATTAGCACTATTTTCAACGCCTACAGTTCGAAGTTGGGCAAAATTGGGCAAACCAGGCTAATTACATTTGAAAGTATACTTAAAATGCTGCCCAATGCATACCAAACCATTTGTCTTCTTTAGTATTCTCAGCCGATCTGCTTATTACCAAACTATAGGTTCACGACTTCCCGTGTAATTGTGTCACTGTTGTTCTTTTTTATATATAATGGAAATACGCATGATGAACATTAAAAAAAAGCATTACCACCTCAAATGATAACTACATATATCTCAATATAGTTATATTTCATCAACCATTTCATACAATATCAAAGAAAAAAAAAATCATCGCTACACATTTCCTAGTCATTTTCAGAACTGTCGCTTACTTCCCTTTCACCATCGATGCATCGGAACGTGGAACTAGAAGAGTTTGAGCATCTTTGGACAAAGGCAGTTTTGCTTGTTTCGGAAGTGGTCTTATTGTTGAAATGATGTCAAATGATTCAAGCAGATGATTCAGAAGGTCGATGTTTGTTGCTGTTCGGGAGATTTTTCGTGTATGATCCATCCGAAAGCGCCTTTCTTGACTCCTGAGCCTCCTCAGATAACTGCCTAAAAAAAGATTGTATCATCGTCGAGCCATGGGTAAGTTTTTTATGCACCGTTACAGGCAAATAAAACCACTGGTATTCTGTTCGTTCAGTCAACCGGTTACTACAACAGACACCGAGAATCACATTCCGGGAAGAGCTATTGGTATTGGTAATGGCTAACGTTATAGTTTATTTCGCAGTGCTGTGATAAATATTCGATTAATTAAGTGTGAAATTGTGCTTGTGCCGCGGTAGAATTGCGAAGATACTCGTAAGTTTT